GATGGGTTTTTTGGGTAAATCGCATAAATGTGCCTCATTTACTCACTTCTGGAGAATGTTTACAGGCATAGCAGTTCTTAGTGAGATTAATAAATATGTGTTGGAGACTATTGAGATCGGGACAGGAATAGCATCAGAAAAGCACTTCGTGGGTGGGAAATACACATCTGGTGAGTGCTGCCATGAGGCAGGCTCCTGAGCTTTGCACTGTAAGCTGCCACAAGCGACTAAACTTTATTTCTCCTGTGACCCAGTCACTAAGGCTTGTAACTATTCGAGATGACAAAAAGGATGTGGTCTGCCTTGAGATTCTTCCTGCTGACCCCTATCACCTTCACCAAGAGCTGTCAGGAGCATAACATTGAGCCTAATGACAAAACAAAATGTAACCTAGGAATCTTCATTGGCAATCGCCGCTACACTAAAACAAGTTTCTATAGCAACGGGGGGTGAAATTATGAAGCAAATTGTTATTCTATGCCTGATTAGGAGAGCTGCTAATTGATGACATCAAGAAGGCTGGGGTATTTAATGCCTATTTTGCTTTAGTCTTCACTAAAAAGGTTAATGGTCACAAGATACTCAACACAATTAATATTAACAAGGGGGAAGAAACGCAAGCAAAGTTAGTGAAAGAACAAGTTAAAGAATATGTGGCCTGGTGAAATTCATCTTATGGCACTTAAGGAATTAGCTGAAACAATCTCAGAACTGTTAGCAAGTATCTTCAAGAACTCCTGGAGGCCAGGTGAGGTCCCAGAGGACAGGTGAAGGGCAAACACAGTATCTGCTTTTAAAAAGGAGAACAAAGAGGATGCAGGGAATTATAGACTAGTCAGCCTAACTTTGATATCTGGAAAGATACTGGAACAAATTATTTAACAATCAATTTGTAAGTACCTAGAGGGTAATAGGGTTATAAGGAATAGATTTGTCAAGAACAAATCATGCCAAACCAACCTAAATTCCCTCTTTGTTAGGGTTACTGACCTAGTGGAAGTGGTGGGGGGAACAGTAGACATGATATATCTTGATTTTTAGTAAGGCTTTTGGCACAGTCTCCCATGACATTCTCATAAGCAAACTAGGGAAATGTGATCTAGATTAAATTATTGTAAAGTGGGTGATAAATTGGTTGAAAGACCATACTCAAAGAGTAGTTATCAATGGTTCACTGCTAAACAGGGAGGGTGTATTTTATGGGGTCTTGCACTGGGAATGTTTAATCTTGAGAAAAGAAAAGTGAGGAGGGTCTGAAAACAGTCTTCAAATATGCTAAGGGCGGTTATAAAGACGATTGGGATCAAATGTTCTCCATGTCCACTGAAGGTAGGATGAAAAGTAATGGGTTTAATTTGCAGTAAAGGAGATTTAGATATTAGGAAAAGCTTTCTAACTAGAAGGGTAAATAAGTTCTGGAATAGGCTTCCCAGGGAGGTTATGGAATCACCATCATTGGAGGTTTTTAAAACAAGGTGGACAAATACCGGACAGTGGTGGTCTAGATATATTTGGTCTTGCCTCAGCACAGAGGGTTGGATTTGACAACTTCTCAAGGTCCCTTCCAGCCCTACATTTCCGTGACTCTGTTCATGTTTCCTTGGGTGCCTTGCTTTTCCTGGATAAAACATTTTTTTCAGTTATAGCGGTGGTGATATGTATAACTATGACAATATGATCTTTTTGGGTAGGAGGAATATTAACGAGACAATCAGTTCTTAGCCAAGTTTCCTTTTTGAACTATATAATTCATCAGGCTGTTGGAAAATGAACTAGATTCCTGTGCAGGGATGAGGGGTGTAATCTGAGCATCACTGACCACCATTCACTCCACTCCTACACGTTGCTTATTGTTTATATATAACCTTTACTTACTGGCTGCATTGCTGTGATGCTGTCAAGCATCAGTCAGTAGCAACTCTCAAATCAAGTATAATTTTAAAAATGAAAAGTTTTATCATTGCCATGTAGCGTCATATGAACATACGAGGGGCTGGATTATCGCATCTTTACTCACATCAAGTAGTACTTTAGTCCATGAAGCCAATGGGACTCCTCAAAGAGGAACTCAACACTGAGTGGTCCAGATTCTGGAGCACTGACTCATGCAAGTAGTCCCATTGAAGTGATTTGAAGCTACTCAAGGGCTTAACTCCGCTCCCTTTGAACCCAGAGTTACGATATTGACTTTTAATGGGAGCAGAATCAAGCCCCACAGGAATCAATGCTCAAAAACATGAGCCTCCCCAGTCTGGCCCAGTGAGTGAGCATGGGGATCACAGTCTAATGTGTATTTTAATGGGTATGCCTTTTTAAAAAAAAAAATGACTTTACTCTTTAATGTAGAAGTTGCATGTAATGGGATTTAAAAAGTGTAGTAACATGCATGTAACTTTTCCCCCCTTTTTGTAGGATGGTTATTTTTCCCACCGGCCAAAAGAGAAAATGCGAACAGACAGCAATAATGAAAACTCTGTACCCAAGGACTTTGAAAATATTGATAACAGTAACTTTGCTCCCAGGACTCAGAGGCAAAAATACCAGCCTGAACTGGTGAAGAAGCCTCTTAGCAAGCAGAAGGAGCACTTGAAAAAGAAACTCGAGCAAGAAGGAAAGGTGAAGGAGAACTCACTCCTGGGGAAGAACTCCAATGAAGTGCTTCAGTTCAGCCATCATGCTGTAAAGAATAGCAGCAGCAGCAGCAATTTGAAGGAGATTCACAGGTCTCCCAGACAGCCTCATTTAAAAAGGAGTGGGAACAGCTCCCCTGAAATAAGATATGACCAGCCACCAAAATGTGAAATATCGGGCAAGGAGGCAATTTCAGCTCTGTCTCGGTCCAAATCCAAGCACTGTCGGCGGGAGATTGCAGAGATATACTGTCAACACAAGCAAGGAAAGCTGATGCCTGAGAAGGTGATGCGTTTGTGTCCCCTGGATGGTAAGTCAATAGATGCTAGAGTGGAATATGCTACACAACCACATGGGGAGGGGGGAATTTTATGCAATAACAGCCTCTTGACTCTGGTCCAGTACAGTAAAAATCAACATTATGCAGTAAAGTATAGCATTACTTTTCTGGCTTGTGCCAAACAGCGAGTATCTAAAGATTTCTTTAACAGAGAACTGTGCAGAGAACACAAGACTCTTGTTAAGCTTATATTGAATGTTCTGCTTCAGTTTTCTTCCATTAGATTTTTCCCATGCAATTTTAACCAGTTTTCAAACGATGATGCTAGTTCTCTCAGGCAGCAGCAGTTACAGTGTTTCCTTCTAAAGTTAGAGGCATATTTGAGAGTGGATGTTCATTCATTCCATCCCATTATTTGACAAAGGAGATGCACGCTATGTGGGAAATGTGGAGATAACCACAGTGAACATTGGCACTTCTGCCAGCCAACAAAGGGACAACATTGCTGTTTCCTGCCAGGGGACAGAGAGCTGTTGGATGGAAACTGTTAACCTGGAGGCAGGAAAAGTCGGGTAAATAAGATAGTAAACAAAGTAATTTGTGGCTCAGTTCTGTTTTTAGTGAAGTCTTGGTACAACAAATGTGGTTTTCAAAGCTTATTAGTTCCGAGTTTCAAATCCAAATCCATAGCCAAAGACGAGGCTTTGTTTTATTGTTTTTTATTTGAATGTGGGATCAGATTTGTGTCTTATTGCACACGGCTTTCTTTTGGTGTGTGGGTGTGTGCGCGCTGTCCTTTTTACGCCCTTCAAGAAGAGCTCCTCTCATTTCACCATTTATTTAACTGTGAACTATCCATAGCTTAAAATGCATTCCTTTACTGCTGAATAGCTTGTGAGCATGAAACATTACTATTAGCAGCAGTGGTATTTCTACAGCACTGCTAAGGCTCCAGTCCCACAATCAGCACTTCCCTGCTTGCGCAGCGTTAAGCACATGCTTAAGTTCTTTCCTGGATCAGAGCCTAAGTGTACTTGGTGTTTTATAAACAAACGAGAAAAGGCCTTGAAGAGGTACAAAGGGAGGGGTGCAACTAAATCAAGTCTGGTGAATGGGATCTTTCACTGTGTGTCTGTGGTTCCACTTCTTCAATGTATTTGTTTTGATGTTTGTGAGAGTTTTTTATAATTACTCTCTCGTGTTTGGAGTGACCATCATGCTCACACTAACACTCAGCATCACTTCTCTAAGTGGCAGAGAATAGGAAAACAGGAGATGGGTTAACAGACCTTGTGGAAGAATCAGGTTTTAAGGAGGTATTTGGAGGAAAGAGTGGAGGCATGGCAGACCGGGTGAGAGAGGAAGGTAAAATCAAAAGATAAAGAGAGAAGATCAAGCAGAACTCTACTTCAGTGGCAGGCTGAGTTATATTGAGCTCTCTCCCAAAATAGTTCAAGAAAGTATCCTGGAATAACATATTCAGACTAAGGAATCTCTCAGCACTCTGGTTACTGGTACTGTGTACCTGGCCCTTTCCTGATAAATCATACAAAAATAAAATCTCAGATTCAGAAATTGTAGACTTACAGCAGTAGTTAGGACTTGTCTACATGGATGTTTAGTTTGCGGCAAGCTGGGATATGGATCTACCCCACAATAACTTGCTATGGATTAACTGTCCACATCGACTCTGCTGACGCACATTAACAGTTTGTTAATGCACTTTGTTCTAGTCCTGTTTCAAAGAGTTCTTGATCAAAATGCATTAATGTTAATGTGCGTCAGCAGGATCCAGCCAGATAGTTAGTCCACAGTAGGCTAGTGCGGGGTAGATTCACACCTCAGTTTGCCACAGATTAAATGTTTGTGTAGACAAGCCCTTAGAAATGTACACGATCACCAATATAGTGTGTCTCTGGGCATCTATATCACAGTCAGCAATAAAGTGTTAGGTCTACTCTGTTTGATATATTTTCTATTTGCTGACCTAATTGTACCTAGGCACCTGGGGCTGTTCTATGTAAAGTACCGGTAACAACAGTGAGATCGGTCATTGCAAATGTCTGTTGTTGTCGTTTCCCCCTTTTCTTCCTTAAGATACACAATTTGGGTCTGACCTTGTGAGATAGTTGAGGGGGTCCAGCACCTTGCAACACACCCCTGTGACTGCACCACTTGCCTGCTAATCTTTTCTCTTGGGACTTATTGTAACATTCCAAACCCACTGCAGCTTTAAACAGTCACCATTCTTAACATCAGCCTTCCCCAGAAATATTTCCTGATTCTATCTTTAAATATGGAACTTCCCACAAGTACCTCTGTCCAAGGGTCTGGACAAGCACCTTTCAGTCCTGGGCCAATAATAATTTTCTATACTCACAAATATTGTCTCACAAATGGCAGTATATGACATAAAATCAAACCTTTTGTTTATTACACAGTATAGTAAATGATAGAGGCAAGTTGACTGGTAAGTGATGAGACTAGGAAATAGGTCACTAAGATTCTATCAGTTGGTAAGTCATTTGATCTGTTTTTATTTTTAAAATGTGGGTGAATTCAGTAACAGCTGAGGCATGTTCCTGGACACCTACCTGAAGAGACCAAAAAAACCCCCCAACAACCAACAGTTCCATAAATGAGGTGTGCAGGATGTATATTAAAATATAAGGTGTAGACAGGCCATTGCTAGGAGTCTTCAGGTTAGCAGGAATGCCCCTGGAGCTCTGTAAGATTGTCAGCAGAGAGACCCTTTTTTGAGAATGTCTTTACCTAGGCAGATGGATCCTAGTAGAAAATGTTGACTTTTCTTTGCCTCAAGGTTATTCCGTGCTGCCACACTGACAGCTGAAGTTAACTGTTTCAAACACTGCCGAATTCTCCTTCAGGTAGTGTTCCCTGTCATCTCCCTTAGACACAGGGGTAGAAAGAGCAGGCTTGGCAGTTTTGCAGTGGGGAAGTGATAGAGCAGCAGCATAACCAATGAAATGCCAGATGCTAATGCAGAAGATACAAGCATACTGTGATGTAAGAGTCTTCTTAGGAATGGCAGAATTCCTAGGCAGCTTCTCAGCTGGGAAGTCGTACCCCTTTCAGAAGAGGAATTTTAGGGGTCAAGGAAAGACATTAGGAATCAACAGTGTGGCCACTCGGTGCCCTACAGGTAGGGTGACCAGACAGCAAGTGTGAAAAATCGGGACTGGGGGTGGGGGGTAACAGGAGTCTATATAAGAAAAAGCCTGAAATATCGGGACTGTCCCTATAAAATCGGGACATCTGGTCACCCTACCTACAGGAGGCACTCAGCAAACCTTACAGGAGTAGGCCCTACTTCGAAGTTCAACCCTTTCTCATTAAAAAGTGAGCCTGATTTAAAAAAAAAAAAAAAAGTTGTAGTCCCTTGTATTTTACAGCTACATTTCTAAGATACTTATCCACAAAAATGTAACTGTGCTGTGATTTCGTAGGCCAGTTGGATCAGATGTCCCCTCCTTTTTATCCTAAACTGTATGCACTGTTGTGCCGTGATAAACAACTGCGCCATCCCTCAGAGGCGGAGGCTACATGAACCCAATATGTTCCTTAAAGGGGTGGTAAGCTTAATTAGGTAACATTTGTAGAGCACTAGCCCTGAGCTTTTGGAATGAAAGCACTATAGTGCTGGTATTACTGTTCTCTTGTGCATAGCTCTTAACATTCTAAACATCAGGAAAGCTCTGTGCTGCGTGTCAGCACAAGTCAGCCATTCTGGGGATCAATCTACGCGTTCAGCATGCCAAGTGATGTATCCTTATGTTTGCATATGAAAAAGATTTGTTATCTGTTTACAAGAGAGCTGTGAACTTTAAATATTTATGCATTGGTCCCACTCATTGATTCATTATCTCAATGTATAAACTTGTTTAAGAGCTATGGGTTCCATTGAGATGTCATCTAGAGTGCAATTCCCTAGGATCCATTCATAGATGCATAGCTGTTCAAAGCTGCAGAATAGTTAAATATGGCCATCAATCGTGGTATATGACTCCACTGAGCCAGACTGTCATAAATTCTAAGCGATACATTCACCTCGGTGTTTGTCAAGAGGAGCAGTATTTTATAAACTTTTTTTTTCTTTGAAGTATTTTATTATGTCGAAAGGCAAGAGGTGTAGAAACTCAAATGGATTATGGAAAGGACTGTTTAAACCTACAGTGTCATCCGTTGCTACTTCTCTGAAATGAGTGTCTTTTCGCTCCATGAGAACCAGAAGAGAGAAGCTCCATTCCAGCTGTGTACCGTATACTAAGATTATACTGAAGCAGCAAAATAGAATATAAGACTTTACATGTCACCTGAATTGTTTAGCACTGTTAGTGTGCGTAGTTCTTTACAAATAGACTGTCCCTCGCTCAAGGAGTACAAGGAATGATGACAAACCTGGGGGGGAGGAGAATGTCAGAGGCTTCAACTATAATATTATACTGTTGTGGAGGTCAGCATAGCAGGCAGCTTGAGGGGCACACCGCTTTGGTTTCGAAGTGTATGTTTTGAAAAGGAACTTGAAGGAGGAGCGGGTGGAAGCGTAGCGGGTGGAAGCGTAGCGGGTGAAGTCTGGAAAGATGGATGAAGATACAAGGGGTGACATGGATAAATGGGCAAATCTAGCGCTGTACTGATTACAAAGGGGAAGCAGGAAAATTGCCTTTTTGGTAACCAGGAAGATTGTCTTTTTGATGGGGCTGGCATGACAGTTTAGTTTACTCTTCAGTAGGGGCAACATGCAGAGCTGCAGCTTGTGCAAGATGGAGTAGCCTGCCTCCTCGCTGTGGCCACCTGTACCTCTGTGCTGTGTGCCACCGCAGGCTACCAGCCCACTTCCATTAGTTGTTTAAGGCCTTGTTTCTGGCTATCAAAACCATGGCTGGGTCAGGGCCCAGCTATGTCACTACGTGTACTCCATCCGTAACCCACCAAGACAGCGCACTGAAAGCCTGGATGAAGCCTGTGAAAGTTGGAGATAGAGAGCTCCTGGCCGTGGAATAAGTTTG